ACATCTGTCTAGACCTCGGAGGTGGGAACCTGTCCTGATGCTTAGACCTCTGAGGTAGGATACCTGTCTCTTGCTTAGACCTCCGGTGGGATACCAGACATCTGTCTAGACCTCGGAGGTAGGAACCTGTCCTGACGCTTAGACCTCTGAGGTGGGATACCTGTCTCTTGCTTAGACCTCCGGTGGGATACCGGACATCTGTCTAGACCCCGGAGGTGGGAACCTGTCCTGAAGTATCGACCTCCAGTGGGACACTGGACCTTTGGGACCTCACTCTTTGGCCGCACATCAATAAGCCGGATTCACCTTAGATACCGAGGTTCCTCCTTGTCAAGACCTCCGGTGGGACACCCGAACCATAACGTATAGACCTTCGGTGGGACACCGAACCTGTTTATATCTCTTGTTCCGATTGTGGCGTGCCTGGGACTACCTGCTCGGACCTTGTCCGTTACATACTATCATACCTGTTGATTTTTGGCCTATTAAGAACTTTTGTTTTGTTTTGTTTAGAATGCAAAAGGAGGTGCCTGGTAGTAAGGTATTTCTTTACTCTATTAACTAGTTATTGCATGCTTATGAAAGACGTACAGTTCTTGAATATTTTATTGATTTGTATGAGGTGGAGTCTATCTCACATCTCTCTTTCTTTTCTGTTATTTTTCTTTCACTTTGTTTGTTCTTTTCTTTCTCTATATCACTAGTTATCTTCTTATCTAACACATGACAGATAAAATCATTCTTGTAAACCTCAATTAAAAAAACTTAGGTCCTGTTTGGTATGACACAGAATAAAAAAACTGTTTTTGTTGAAAATGAAGTATTCTGTAGAATAAAAAAACTGAGTTTTTATACAAATACTAGTGTTTGGTAGACCTGACGTTTTATTTTGTACGTAAATAAGTGACTGTTATTTCAGTTGTAATCTATGGTGAAATACTATAAGGTATAAGTTGCAGTAGCCAACTGCAATAATCTTGGACCATCTATTTTGAATATAGATTGTTTATCCTTTTCCTGTTAACTCATTGAAAAATAACACTGATTGTGCTTGAGGTTTGTTTGCTGAGAATAGATATATTGTGACTTGTATTGCAATATGGTTTTATTTATGATATGAGTTTTATTATCAAGACATCATACCCTGGGCCTATTATTAACAGGATATACTCTTGCCTAAATTATATTATTAATACAATTAAAAATAAAATCAGAGCAGAATCTAACTTCTATTATACTATAACTGAATTTCTATATAAGTGCAATCTTGTATAAGCAAGAGGGCTTATCTTATCTCCTTGAAAACTTATATGAAATACACCAATAAAAAATACTCAGAATAGAAATACAGAGGATTGAAATACCATGGTATTTTTATAACTATCAAACACTCTTAGATTATTTTAGTTTAATAAGTCAGAGGGGGGGGTTTCTGCCAGGAGGGGTTTCCATATCATCCATAACAACTACGTAAGCTACCCAACCTCCTCAATATATTTCAGCACCATGTATTCAAGTCCGACACATTTTCTTTGCTCTTTTTAATTCTGTTATCCTCATTATTATGGTTCGTACATACAGTGTATTGAAGATGACTTGCGCAATACTTGTGCAGAGGTGCTACAAACACACCAAGTCAAAGTTGCCTCTGATTGATGGGCCATACCCTATACTACACTCTGTGACTGCATCAATGGTACCCTGCCTCACAAGTTTGTCCACCAAAGTCAACAATGGCTTTCCGTGGTTCAGGAGGACCACCTAGCGAGATGGTGCTTTCTCCAGGTCAGTCTAGGCCATCCACCAATACATGCACAGATTAAGGCTTTAGGCCACTGGATTGACTCTGAGTCTGGCGATGATTAACCTTTTGGTAGACCCTAAGAGTGGTGCCACGCCTTTCTTGACTGCCATCTTGGTTTAAAGACCCAGAGGGCGAGGCAAGTAGATTCTATTTGGTTGAGCTGTGCAAGAGAGGAAGTTATACAGCCTTGGTTCGACCTCTTCCAGATACCAGAGATCAAGGAGATTAAGCAGGAAAATCATTACAACAAGAATGAGGCTGGTATTATGGAAGGCAGGGGGACCAGTGGCCTGGTAGTCGGAGCCAGTGACCACAAGGCTCTGCAAAAGAAACAGCCAGGGGATTATACTTGGACCTTATTTGTTGAGTATGTATTAGCTACTGGGAGGTTCCTAGCTCCACTTGTTATTTTTAAGGGTCAGACGGTTCAATAACTGTGGTTTCTGGAGGACGTGAAGCACCTGGAGGCTTGGAAGTTCAAAGCTACCCCTAAGGACTGGACAAATGACGAAACTAGTCTACACTGCCTTTAAAAGATCTTCATTCCCTTAACTAAGCCAGCCAAACTCCGGGATAAAAGACCTTTTGTTATTGATGGCCATGGAAATCATGTGACCAACGATTACATGTAGGCAGCCTACTCGAACAATATCCACATCGTTTATCTACCAGCACATACCTCACATGTTCTTCAGCCTTTAGATTTATCCGTTTTCCCTCCCCTTAAACATGCTTATCGGAAACACCGTGACCTCAATGACGTGCTTACTCAATACCTAGACGATTCAACAGTAGCTGGAAAGTGTGCCTTTCTTTCCTGTTACTAGAGGGCTAGGGAGGAAACTCTAACAGTAAGAACTAGGAGAGCAGGGTGGTCAGCAGCAGGCCTGTGGCCAGTCAACTTAGAAAAGCCCCTAATGAGCTGCCTCCTTCTTGCAAATTCTAATAATCCCGAGATCCCTACTACTGCTGCACCTGCTCCTGAGCGGGAGACACTTAATAACCCCCTTGTGGAGGACTTTCTCCCCCCCTCAAATGCCATGGTCTACTTCTCAGAAGCATCGCGAGTTTATAGAGTAGGCCACTTGATTTTCTCACTCAGTCAAGACTGTACCAGCAGAGAAGGTATTCCTCTAAAAGGTTAGTAAGGTACTGGATCAAAACCAAGCCCAGTGGGCAATCGCCAAGCATGGAATTGAGGCCCTGGAAGAAGAACTGGTTGCAGTAAAAAGAACCAAGAGGAGGAAGATTCAGGAGGATCCAAATCTGAAGTTTGCCACTATCCACACTATAAGGCGTGCTCAAATAGAGGCTGGAAGGGTTGAGGTAGAGGATTCAGCTTTAGAGATTAATTCCAAAGAGTCTACAACTGAAAGTTGTATAGAAATAGATGATTCTGATATAGATAATTAGAATTGAACAATGGGGGTGGGTGGTGTGCACAGACCACTACAGAAGTTATGGAAACCCCCCCCTCTGACTTACAGCAGAAAAAACCAAGAAAAACTATGAAATACACTGTTTTTCTGCCATACCAAACAGGGCCTTAAAGTTTTCTGTCCTGTTCCTTATCTGGTCTTCCGTCCTGTTCTCTATCTATTCTGTTATTCTCTACTCTATCCTATCCTCTATTTAGTTCTCTATTTGCTAATTCTCTGTTCCTGTATTTAATTCTCAAAAAAATATTTGATTTGAGTGTGGTTTTGTTGAAACCTACATATGGGCTTTTTTGGTTGTTACCAGGAAAACAGGTTTGAAGGGTGGCAACCAGAGAAAATCAATCTTGAGATAAACACTTTTTTCTTTTTCTCTACAGTAGAATCGCTTCTCTTCTATAATAAAAAAGTTTAAAAATAAAGTAATTCTATTAAAATTTTATTTACTATGTAG